ACGGGGAATAGTCCACCCGGGCACAGGTCATCAACCCACAATGGGGCCTGGGGGGCGAAAAAATAAGATTAAAAAGAAATTTAGAATAGAAAAGAAAAGAGTTTATATTAATCTACGCCACGAAGATGTCGGAAAACCAGCTTTTTGAAATGAAATAGATTGTATGAGTATGGAAACACAGAAGGAGGCAGAGCATTCCACAGTTTGGCTGTGTGAGGAAAGAAGGATGTACTATAACGTGTTATTCTAGTGTGACCGATAATGTGTTGTCTAATGGTAGACCCTGCTGCCATATGGCATCACGAAAATTGTGACCAAGTCCCAGGTTGCTGATTTGACTTTCTGCCTCATTTACACACAATTGCTGGGTCTCAATTGTCTCTCTTACTATTGACAACACAACATACATATACTATCGTTTCTCACTCTTGATTTATTTTTTGTATATTTTTTTTATTTATTTATCATCATCATCATCATCATCATTATTATTATTATTATTTTTTTTTTTTTATTAATTATTATTATTATAATTTTTATTTATTTTAATAATTATTAGTATTATATCCCCCCCCCCCTCACCCCAGGCCCTGATGTGGGTCAGTGGCCTGTGCCCGGGTTGGTTAATCCCCATAAGAAAAAAAGTAATAAAATAAAATAAAATAAATCCACAGATAAACTGTGGGCACCGCAGGCAAGACGAATGTTACGAGCCCACGGCCTTGCCGGCGGTACACAGGATGCCAAATCCACCGAACATTGCCCGTTAAAGTACCTGTAAAAGAGAGAGAGTGAAGCAACATTGCGGCGAAGAGAAAGGGACGAAAGATTATTAACTAAAGGAGGAGAGTCAATAAGACGAAATGCCTTTGATTCCACCCTATCTAACAGTTGGACAGAAGAAGAGCCACCCCAGATATGAGAGCAGTACTCCAAGTTTGGACGAATGAATCCCTGATAAACTTGAAGCAACTGTTCAGGAGTGAAGTAACTATGGCATCTGTACAGCATTCCCAGCTTTCACGAGGCATTTTAGCAATGTTGTGGATGTGTGGCTTCCATGACATATGAGAGGAAATGGTGAGGCCTAGCATGTAAGATATTATAGCTCACTGAGGAGTCGTAGGTGGTGGAGTCTGGCCAGGACGCTCCCCCGGTGTCAATAATGTGATTGCCAAAAAACGCTCGCACAACTTGAACTCTATATGTCAAACTTCACATGAGAGTGAGATTTATGTTGCATTAGTCACAGATATTTTTCGTGGAATTCTAGTCAATAGAAATAAATGAGGTGGGAAAAATAGCAACATATACTGGGGGGGATGGGGGGGAATATGTTACCAATTCCAGAGAAAAATAAAATAAATATAAGGCATAATTGCTGATTCAGTGTAGATACTCCGGAACAATGAGGAGGAAATGCTCTCCTTAATCCCTCGAGGGGTGGGGGGGATGACATAACCCCCTCAAGCCAAAGAGTTAAGTCATCGTACTCGATGGGTTAAGTCATAGCACTCGGACATGAAGTGAAATATATGTGTACTTTACATCACGGCTACTGCTTGAGTGTGATCGATTGGACGACCCGAGAGAGACCGTGTAAAGAATTATAATAGCAAGGTAAAGAGCTGGTAGTTGCGTGTCATTAAGAAAAGTCTATAAATCATTTCATGAGATTTCCATCTCAGGGAAAAATGGATTTGTTTCATGCATAAAGAAAATCAGAAGTAACAGTTAGTCAAATGTACAGTGACTCCAAAATGTGTCTTTAAGGTGAGGTCCGATGAACACTGCGGCTCCTGTTGTCTCGGTGGGGTTTTCAAAAGCCATCGTAGCTTGTCTCACACAACATCGTAAAGATACCTTTTGGAGTGACACTACCTAACTTTATTACCATCAATCCTGGGACCTGTGAAGGACAGTACCTGAGACCTGTGGGGGACAGTGCCTGGGACCTGTGGGGTTAGTATCTGGTACCTGTGGAGGACAGTACCTGGGGCCTATGGGGGTAGTACTTGGGACCTGGGGTGGCAATACCTGTTACCTGGGGTGGCAGTACCTGGAACCTGGGGAAGCAGTACCTGGGACCTGCGAGGAGGGCAGTACCTAGGACCTGTAGTGGAAGTGCCTGGGACCTAGAAGGGGCAGTACCTGGGACCTGTGGGGGCAGTACCTGGGACCTGGGATGGCAGCACCTGCAACTGAGGTGGCAGTACCTGGGACCTTTTGGGGTAGTACCTGGGACCTGTGGAGGTAGTACCTGGGTCTTGCGGGGGACAGTACTTGGGACCTGGGGGTGGCAGTACCTGGGACCTGGGGTGGCAGTACCTGGAACCTGTGGGGGTAGGAACCTGGGGGTAGTACCTGGGACCTGTGGGGGGTACCTGGGACCTGTGGGGGCAGTACCTGGGACCTGGGATGGCAGCACCTGCAACTGAGGTGGCAGTACCTGGGACCTTTGGGGTAGTACCTGGGACCCAGGGGGGTAGTACCTGGGACCTGTGGGGGTAGACCTGTGGACCTGGGACCTGTAGTACCTGGGACCTGTGGGGGGGCCACCTGGGACCTGTGGGGGGGTAGTACCTGGGACCTGTGGGTAGTACCTGGGACCTGTGGGGGTAGTACCTGGGACCTGTGGGGGTAGTACCTGGGACCTGTGGGGTAGTACCTGGGACCTGTGGGGGTAGTACCTGGGACCTGTGGGGGTAGTACCTGGGACCTGTGGGGGTAGTACCTGGGACCTGTGGGGGTAGTACCTGGGACCTGTGGGGGTAGTACCTGGAACCTGTGGGGTAGTACCTGAGAGACAAAGCTACTCTCATTAAACATCTTACTTCCACTGCCATACATGTACGGTGTAATCAAGACCCACAAGCCTAATAACCTAGCAAGACCCATCATTAGCTCAGTTGGGTCAATCTCTTATATATTATCTAAATGGTTAGTTTCTTCACTAAATCCCCTAGTTGGCAACATTTCTAACTCTAATATTAAGAATAATATGGATCTGGTTGATAAACTCAATAACTTACACATTAATTATGATTTTAAACTGGTCAGTTTTGATGTAACATCACTCTTTACAAAGGTCCCAGTTGATGATTTACTGGAGTTCCTCATAGATTCCCTGGATAATATTTCATTGCCCGTCTCGAAAGACGACTTCATCGAACTCATCAAACTATGTATTAAGGATTGTAAATTTGAATTCAATGGAGAATATTATGCTCAAAAATTTGGTATGGCAATGGGTAATCCACTCTCACCTGTATTAAGCAACCTATATATGGAATTCTTTGAAAAGAAACTATTAAGTAATATCTTACCACCTTCAGCAGTCTGGTTTTGCTATGTAGATTATGTATTATGTCTCTGGCCATGTAATGAGGACCTAAAAGCTTTCCTGCCACAACTTAATAACTTAGCCCCATCGATCAAATTCACTGTGGAATTAGAACATGACTGTAAATTGCCTTTCCTAGACTGTCTGATCCACAGAATAGGTAACACCTTTAATTTCAGTATTTATAGAAAATCTACTAATGTGTGTTCATACATTCATTATTATTCTGCCCACCATAATAGAGTCAAACAGTCAGTATTTTCAACAATGTTTTTACGTGCTTTGAGAATTTGCAGCCCGGAATTCATTGATGAGGAATATAAATATATCTATAATATTGGCTCAAACCTTAAATACCCTAGATCTTTCATAGACAAATGCCTGAACAGAACTAAGAAATCTTTTTATAGAACTGATCCCAAGCCCACCCATGACCATAAGAATCTCTTAGTATTACCATTTCACAAAAATTTCTCTCAAATTCCTTTACAACTAAAAACCTGGAATGTCAATGTGGCATTTAAAAACTCATGCACTGTTAAACAAAAGTTAATCAAGAACTCCCCCAACAATACAAATGGCTGCATGAATAAAGTCCCTTGCAAGGAAGGTGATATGTTTTACTTAGGCCAGACAGGTAAAGATCTTGTAACTAGACTTAAACAACATAAATATAGTGTTAGGACAGGCAGGAAACCAATGCTTTGTTTGTTCATTTGAGGGATAAAAAACATTGCATTGACTGGGATAATGCCTCCTCAATATTACCTTGTAATTCAATTGACAGTAGGAACATTATAGAATCTAGTCTCATTAAACATACCGAATCTGTTAACATGAATTTGAGTAATGGTATGTACAAATTGGACAATTTTGTAATTAAGAAGATTTGTAACCAGGTGAGAAGGTTGGGTCAGTTTTTCCCTCTGACCTGACTACCCACCCCTGCAGTGCTTTTGTGAAGATTAGTAGGTTCATTACCTATACTTGACCTCTGTGGATTTGATCTCACTTCTATATATATATATATATATATATATATATATATATATATATATATATATATATATATATATATATATATATATATAACTTGTTCTGCATTTCTACTTAGTTTGTACTCACCACTGAAGATGTAGATACACAGCGCTTGGAACTTCGTGTTTTTCTTTTTTCCTTGTGGTTATCAGCATATACCTGGATCACACTTGCACCTGTGATTTACTTGCATATATATATATATATATATATATATATATATATATATATATATATATATATATATATATATATATATATATATATATATATATATATATATATATATAACAGGAAAGAAGAAAGCACAGTTATATACTCACCCCTGAAGATGTGAATTGCACGAAAGCGCTTGGGAACTTCGTGTTTTCTTCTTTCCTTGTGGTTATCAGCATATACCTAGATCACGCGCACCTACAGTGATTTACTTGCATATATATATATATATATATATATATATATATATATATATATATATATATATATATATATATATATATATATATATATATATATATATATATATATATACCGTATATATTATTTATTGCGAGGATACGGGGAAAATCCAAGGTAAATATTCTACAGGAACTGCCACACAGTTGGATAAAACAGAGGAAACTGACGCAGAATTTTATTTCACCCAAATGAAATATAATACAGTTTTAAGTTCTATGAAACCATTTTCACCATCTTTGGTATAGGATAATAATAGAGCAGACGATGGACGCCAGTGAAGGAGTGTGATCACCACCATAACGTACAGTATAGCTCCCTGATGGTCAAGAATAAATACTGTCAAGATGATCACTAAAAATGTCCATACTCGTAGCTGATGGGTAATTAACGACATAATATTCGTAAGAAACTCAGCCACGCTTCGGTTTGATCGAATGATAGGACTTTGGGTGAACTTTAAGCTGATATACTTGTGTATACTGTACTAAAATCTATTGTAGTAAATTACTGTTTATGGTCAGAATGTTAAATCTTTGGATAATGTATCGGCATTTCAAGTCTTACGTTAGTAAATATCATTGATGAATCAAGAATCATGGGCCGGATACAGCTACCATGATAATTGTTTTATCATATTTTTGGTGGGATTGGCCAAAAATTTTATAAGAATATTGAACACTATTCTATTCACGTATTTTATAGTACTGGCCATAATTTTTCCCATATCAACAATGTTCGGCTTGGAAGCAAAATGTCCATCACCGTAGGGAAATAAAATTAATTATACGTACCTTGTGTTTCCTTTGGGTCATATTAGTGATCACTCTCTAACACTATGGTCGTTGGTTTGCACCTCATCATGTTGTCTTTCATCGTGTGACCTATTATTAGTCTATGCTTTGGTTTTCTCATGGCATGACTACAGAACACTCTGATGAACTATGATGCCTGTAGGCTTGTGAGCCTCTGTAGCTGGTCTCTAAAATAGTGGATTCTGTGTGTTAAACTTTACACTGTAGATGCCAGTGTTTAACTTACATAAAATAGTAAGCATACAAGGTGAGAGGATTTTATCATTAGCAGCTAGATGATTTAAACTTTAAAACTTCTGTCCTCGTCAAAATCTTAAGCCAGCAATATTTGAAATGTCAAAATACATATTCTCACCACCGCGTGGCTCACATCATCAACATGTTTTTTTTTAAACTCGTTAATCTCAATCACCATACCACACGATAAAAACCTCCAGTACAAGATGATTCACATCACCAACACTGTCCATTTAGGCATATAATAATAGATAAATTAATGGTTCATTTGAGCGATAAATAGATGGCGCGATATAAGTTTTGGAGTTATGTGGACACATAGTATGTTCTTAGTGTGTATATGGATCCCAAAATCATTAGTTCGTGTCACATCAACTGTGTGAACCTTTAAAGTGACCCCTGGTATAAAAAATTCAGCTGAATCATCTACAAGTTTCACACAGTTAGTACGAAAATTAAATAGCGATTTTTTTTACTGCCGTACATGCATTATTAACATCTTCTTTATACACAAGGTTCCAAGACACTGTATCGTGCAACCATCTTCTTGCTCAGACAACCTTCAACAGCTAAATCAAATCGACTATGACCATCAACACACTATGGTTTATGGTGACTAGTCAGAAGATTTAATGGCAGAGCGTGGCATAAAGAATGGTGGGAACCGATGATAGTGGTGTCAGGTATGGTGGTAACGGACGGTAGTGGTGTCAGGTATGGTGTTAACGGACGGTAGTGGTGTCAAGGATGGTGGTATCGGACGGTAGTGGAGTCAGGTATGGTGGTAACGGACGGTAGTGGTGTCACGGATGGTGGTATCGGATGGTATTGGTGTCAGGGATGGTGGTAACTGGTGATAGTGATAGTGGTGTCAGGGATGGCGGTATCGGATAGTAGTTGTGTTAGGGATGATGGTAACAGAGGTCGTGGTGTCAGGGATGATGGTATTAGTGGGTAATGGTGTCAGGATAGTAGTGGTGTCAGGGATGGTGTTATCAGATGGTAGTGGTGTCAGGTATAGTAGTATTAGATGGTAAAGATGTCAGGGATGGTGTTATCAGATGGTAATGGTGACAGGGATGGTGTTATCAGACGGTAGTGGTGACAGGGATGGTGTTACCAGATGGTAATGGTCTCAGGAATGGTGTTATCAGATGGTAATGGTGTCAGGGATGGTGTTATCAGATAGTAGTGGTGTCAGGGATGGTGTTGACAGATGGTAATGGTGTCAGGATGTAGTGATCAGTCAGTGAGGTACATTTAGTGATCAGTCAGTGAGGTACATGTACAGTAGTGATCAGTCAGAGAGGTACATGTAGTGATCAGTCAGAGAGGTACATGTAGTGATCAGTCAGAGAGGTACATTTAGTGATCAGTCAGTGAGGTACATGTAGTGATCAGTCAGAGAGGTACATGTAGTGATCAGTCAGTGAGGTACATGTAGTGATCAGTCAGAGAGGTACATGTAGTGATCAGTCAGAGAGGTACATGTAGTGATCAGTCAGTGAGGTACAGTAGTGATCAGTCAGAGAGGTACATGTAGTGATCAGTCAGTGAGGTACAGTAGTGATCAGTCCGAGAGGTACATGTAGTGATCAGTCAGAGAGGTACAGTAGTGATCAGTCAGAGAGGTACATGTAGTGATCAGTCAGTGAGGTACAGTAGTGATCAGTCAGAGAGGTACATGTAGTGATCAGTCAGTGAGGTACATGTAGTGATCAGTCAGAGAGGTACAGTAGTGATCAGTCAGAGAGGTTAAGTCCCCTTCATTAGTGCGTTTACAGGAGCTCGTCAGGTTTAGTGCAGTGTGGCAGCCTGTGTTTGTTTACATTCGACAGAAGGAAACCCACACTAGTAAACTTGCTATGAAATCAAATTTAAACAATACTAAAAAAATGTCTCAAAGACAATGATTTGTGGAATGTTTATATGACGAGCCCCTGTAAACGCACTAGTGAAGGGGACTTTACATATAGTGTCAGTCAGCGAGGGAAAGTCAGAAGTTCCTGGCGGCCTCTCATTGGTCATTATCGGTGAAGGACGCGGAGTGCTTATAGATGACTTTGCCACGGAGGAGCTGCTCTGGGTGCGGGTCATTGTACAGCCTTTTCTTGAGGTTGTCAATAGACATCTCGGTGTACTGCAGCTCTCTGTTCGTGTCTGGTCTTTGGACGGTCTGGAGACCTTCCTTGAACTTGTGGCCGTCGGGAAGCATCTTGAAAATGAGCTCATTGACGTGGTGGTGGTCGTTGGGCGCGTAGGTGACCTCGTTGTTGTCGATGGTCGGCTGGCTCCTGGTAGGGTGGCAGGGCGAGCACGAACAGTTGGTTATCATCTGGATGTTTTTGGTCACCTGATAAGCGTTGCCGTACTCTTCACAGTCCAGCTGGATCTGGGAAACAAAGTTGAAGGTTGATATTATTGTCTAGGCGGCTTCTCTTTGCTCTCTCTCTCTCTTTCTCCCTCTCTCTCTTTCTGATTCTTTGATAAAATAATTATAAAACTCTTTCAGTTTACTAATAAGTGATAGTACAGCCCAAAACTTGTATATAATTTCCTCAAAGGATCGAAAAATATTACCACGGCAATAGGTTAAATAGAAATGGAAAATCGGCTGTGATTGTTTACGACAGGACCACGACACAGCTGCCAACAGGACTTTGCCACTAGGCTCTTTTTGTCCTAGGGAGTATTAAAACATGCCATCACTGATCTATGTCTGAATTCTGCAGGGCCCAACATTTCTTAGCTTTTCAGTAACGTTTAGTGATTCATTTCGGTTAAAACCAAACATTTCGTTGGTGGTTTGTTTTAAAGCACTGGAGGAGGACAGTCGCCTGGTGGCAAGGGGTACTTGGTACTGTAACGCGATACTGTCCCGGGCAATTACGGCTGATTTTTCTTTTCGCTTGATTTTTGTGCTGGTAATATTTTGGTCTTTTCAAGGAGTTCTCAGCAACTTCTCTTAAAGTAAGTTTGTAGTTAATTTCTTATTGGATCACTAATTTTGCCCCTTCTTTGTTGACCCGTCTATTGTAAGCTGCCTTTCCCCAATCTTTCTGTTTCCTTACTTCAAGTATCGCTCTCTCTTTTTCTCTCTTTAAGTCTAAGTCTTTCCCAGGTGCCGCTCTCTTTCACTCCCTGATTATCTCAAGTAAACTTTTTCCAACAACATCTTGGATCTGCCAATGTCGACTAGTTCGTTCACCCATGCCAATACTAAAGGTGCCGTCTCAACCCCCCCCCCCTCTCTCTCATACTTTTGTTTTCTCTTTTTCCATAGCCATTGACGTTTCTGTCTCCAATCCACTACCCCCCTCACTCCGTTACTCGCTCTCCATGACTACTTACAGTTGTCCAGTGGGACTCGGAAGCCTGGCAGGAGTCACAGTAGTCGAGCTGCTCGTCGCCAGGGGTCTCCGGTTCTGTCTGGGGGACGGTGTAACTGAAGCAGGTGCCCACACATACGTAGTTCTCCATCTCCTGCAACACACCACCACCACCGTCAACAACAACTGGGAGTTTATACTTGAGGTACCTATTAGTGTTTCGGGCTTCCTTACGCCATTGTTTACGTAATATCATTTGTTTACCTTACAAAAGAGAATATTATATCAATTCTCAAGGGTAAGATTCCTCTGGTATTATAGATTTTTTTTGTGTAGGGATAAATAGTTATATAATAACATTGTTTATAGTTTATAATCAAATGTAATTCCAGCAAAGGTATAATAAATACATAATGATAAATATATATTAATGGTTGCCCAAGGGCCACCTAGGCGTGAATTTGTTTAAGGTGTAGAAGCTGTCGCCAACACAATAATCACACCCTAAGTTAACGAGTTGTATGACCCAGTGTCAAGGAATAGTCCGAGAAGACCGGACAACTTCCCAACTGCACTGGCTAACCATTACCCCCGGAACACGATCCGCAAATCAATTAACATCCAGGTTTACAATTACTGCTGGGTAGACAGAGGCAAACGGCGTAAAGAAACTTGCCCATAGTTTCACCCTGCCCGGGGATCGAACCCTAGACCACTCGCTTGCGAGACAAGCGTGCTGACTATTACACCACAGACCACCACAATAAACACAGAAACACACAAGTGAAACAAAATCTTTAATTTCTTGTTTGATTTTGATAGATTAGTTAACAAATTAGTGACACATTAAAGAGGGTGTTAAGAGTAAACGCTGGAAATGTAGAGCAAAAATGTGGTGCAGTGTAACCAGGTGGTGTTGATAGAACAAATTAAGATGTGGAGGAAAGACCGAAGGACGAGAAAAGGGAGAGGGTGAGACTGTTCAAAGAGAATAAGTGCAAATAAGGAGACAGACATAAAAATAGAAGGATGAAGATGTGGAAAGTAAAAGTAAAAAATGTGGGATTATGGGAGAAGAGTGTGGAGGACTTGTTTGGGTAGAGGAGAGGCGTGGGAGGGCGACCCGACCCACCTTGGAGGTACAGTGAGCGTGGGTGACGATCTGGCGGATGTGCTTTAGCTCACAGAGGGAGTGTTGCTCCGGGTTCAGTACCAAGTTGTGCACCTGTGGAGAGAAGATCAATGAGAGTTGTGCATACCTTGGTGATTGTATTATATTATCACCTCTCATTATGAGAGAGAGAGAGAGAGAGTATGCATTTTTTTCTTTTTACTATTTTGTTGAAGATACAAGAAACTAAAATGGCCCTCGTATCGAACAGTTCTGCAAGAAGGACAGACGAGGTTCTACACCACATTGATTTCAGGCCAGCACTGTACAGTATGTTATGAGAGACTGCACTAACACTGGATAGACGAAAAAAGAAATATCCCACGCAAAATTTACGGGAGGCAAATTTTAACCGTTGCTTCGCTTAGTAAAAAATAAATACAGGTTACTTCGATGTTCTTGTTCTGTAGGCCTAAAGTGTTTACAGGGTGCAACGGCGGGTAGCTACAATGCTCACCCCCAGTCTTAAAGGTTGCTGGATAGCCTCTAGAACACCCCTAGCCAACCCAGCTGTGACTGGTTACTTAGCTTTATAGTTGGGAAATGACAGTGGTCGAGTGTAGTGCTGGTGTCATATAGAAATTTTTCCCTCAAAGAAAGCTAACACTCAGGTCATATTAACTTTTCTAACAGCAGACGACTCGATCCAACCAATCTCAATTCCACACGACAGAATGTGGGCGGTGCTTATTCTATCTAATAATAGTGGACATGTTATAGTTTAATATAGTTTTTGAGAGGACAAGTTGGATAAGTTTGCTGAGAGGAGTAGGGACTTACCGTGTGGTGGTCGGAGGAGTCACGGTGTTGTTGAGTGATGGTGGAGTCCGTCTCAGCTGGATCTGGTGGCGGGGGAAACACGTCGTTGGTCGCCACCACCACCACCACAAACATCGTCAACAACCACGTCCACGAAGACCACATCTGTCAGCGACCGTAGTACTTGTGATAATAGAACAACAACACAATGATATTGATAGTAATGATCATAATACGTACATAACAGTTAGGATAATGTTGACAACTACACTATTACAAATATTCCCCGTAAAAAAAAGATGAAAATAAAGCTCACAACAACACAGTACTTCAACCTTAGGTCCAGAAGAACAGGGTGGCCGTGTTTTCTGGTCCTGGCTTCCCTGTTATTAGTTACATATAGAGACAACAGGTGAAGGATTCCTGGAGCAAAGCTGTCTGATTGGTTGATTCCATGACCAGAGAATCGATGGAAACATATCGTGCGGACGTACAGTTTACTTTAATTACTATGAATTCCACATAAATACTCCCCGATATAATTATATTTTATAGTTTGGCGTAAGTATAGAAATTTTTATAGGGTGACGTAATTCATTTCTTATAAATTGATATTATATAATATTTTATAGATTGGCGTAATTATAAAAAAAATTAAGGGTGTCGTAATTTTAGAAATTCTACTAGGTTGACTCATTCGTTGATTTTAAAGATATTATAGACATTATTTATGATTATGGTGGTAAAAAACCATTAATTATTTTCATTAAAAGGTCTAAATCAAATAAGCCAATCAGAGCCATCGTTAGCCATACCATATCAGTTGTCTCTGTAAAAGTCAACAGGGTACTAGACTACCTGTTACCTGGCTTAATTAAGGGATTCCATGGCACCATTACTCCAGTGCATGACAGGAATATATTATACACACCTGCTGGTCAACATCCTGGACACAGAGGGATAAGTACACTAAAAGAAAGAATATGTATCTATCTACAGTATATATCTATCTATCTTTCTATCTATCTCTCATCTATCTATCTATCTATCTATCTCTCATCTATCTATCTATCTATCTATCTATCTATCTATCTATCTGTATCTCTGTATCTCTGTATCTCTGTCTGTCTCGTAAGAATTTTCATAGTAGGCATAACACTGATACTAAAAGAACTAATCATAGAAATTATAATAATAATGGTATGGATGATCAACAGAGATAAATAATAATAAAAAAACAAAAAAAAGAAGCAGGAGGGAGGGAAAAATATATAAACTGTCACCATTCAGAGAGAGAGAGAGAGAGAGAGAGAGAGAGAGAGTGTATGTTACAATAATATTAAAACACACGCAAAGTAACAGTTTTCCTTCTTGTCTAATACTAAATATAAACCCGGAAATATAACGCAAGTGATTCTAAGATGGTATCTGATAATGGAACCTTGATGTTCCCATGACTATATAGTAGAGTATAACCCTTATGTAGGAAATAATGTTACAGTAGCACAGCGGAGGAGGAAAACAGTAAGAATAAACTAGCTCGCTATAATGACCTTACACCTACGAAATGAGAAAAAAAATGAATTAAGACCATTTTATTGTATTCAAACCCGAAGAAGGTGAGAAATATTACCACGATTTATATTCTGTAAGTAAGGCGTGATAGTTTAGAAGAATATAATACACAATATAAAACGCTCTCACTCTCATTACGTTTTTCGAGATGTAAACAAGATCGTATAGAAAATTGGAACGCGATACTGAGCGGCCGTCAACTGGGCCATTGACAACTGTGTTCAAAAAGAGTAAATAAGTTGAATAAAAGAAAGACTGGCCAGCGAGTATGTCGATATCACGAGGTTTACCAAATTTTATGCTTCACTAATTTCACAGATAACGTCCTATTCACTCATACACACAGAAACACACGCCTCCCCTTCACCCACACACACACACACACGTAATAGCCTACGCACGTACAAACACCAGCTTCCATTCCCTACAGACACACGTACAGTATTCATGTGCACATACACGCAAACTCACGTACATGCTCACACACATAAACATACACAGTGGAGTATAATGTCTCATCTTTTGTTTGATTGGGATTCATAAGACCGAAAACCAATGTATATTTTGTTTTCTGTTCAGGTCAGGTGTTGAGACCCCAAGCTGAAGTCAGGGTGGGAAAAAATCCCAGGTATTTTATTTATTTGTTACTTACTGTTGAAGTTATGATGTACTACTGAGCCTTAACGACTAATGTCATTAACCCTTTATAGGCCAGGGGTTTCTCTCAGCTGAATAAAACCGTCTGGCGTTAGACAGAGTAAAATACCTAGTACAGTGGTTCTCAACCTTGTTTGCCCCATGCACCCCTTTCACCATATGTCAGAATGTCATTCCCCCTCCTTTCCAAGATTGTCTGCCTCAAAAAGTGCATTCCAAATAATATGCATATAATACTGAAAATCCTTTATTTTTTCCATATTAGTACATATACATTTACAATTTTACATGGATTATTTTTATAGTGGAGTTTTACAAATTAAATGTCAATTGAAAATGTTGATGGATTTATAAAACTTGAATAAAAGTAAAATAGTTTTTTTTATTTATAATGAATTACTTAACAGACCAAACTGAAGCATAATGCAATAAACAAAAAGTTCAATAGAATACCAGGATATTGTAAATTTGTAATTAATTTTATTCAGATGAAGATTACAGTCAATGAGAAACCTGTGATTGTTTTTTCTTCGCCAATTCTGGGATACGCGGAGGAGTGCTTGAAAGGGCACAACGCAGGTCATTTTCTACCTCTAATCTACTACGTTGCTTCGTTTTAATTTGCAACAGAGTTGAAAAGCCTGACTCACAAAGATATGTCGACACAAACGGAAGCAATGCACGGATAGCTCTTTCTGCCACTTTTGGGTAGGAATCGCACATCAAGGGCCAAAATTCTGTGATTGATTTCTCATCGAACATATCTCTTGCTCCCGAATCAGTTTCCCCCCCCCCTGAAAACCTGAATTCCCCCCCTGGGGGGAATTCCCCCCTGTTCATCAGCTGATGCGCGGGAACCTCAGAAGAAAGCCCCGTGCCTCGCTTTCATACCACTGGATTGGTAAAATGCTATGACATATAGATACAGTGGGCAGTTTCCCATGAGGTTGGACCGCCATCAGTGATGTTAGGTTTGGTGAAAATAACAGTCATAAACACTTTAGGTATTGTGGAAAGCTAGCAAAAAGAGTTGATTATATATATATATATATATATATATATATATATATATATATATATATATATATATATATATATATATATATATATATATATATATATATATATATATATATATATGTGTGTGTGTGTGTGTTCTCTTCACCTGAGCCGCTGCATTGCTTCTAAGTTAGTTTGCGGCATAAAAAAACATATTGTGGGAAAGGTCAGATTTACCTTTACGTATGATTACCAAAGAACTTGTGCGGTTGTTGCATTATTAAAGGTCCAGAATAATGTAAACAAAACAACAATATTAACATGTTGAAAAAAATTACTTCATTCACTCTTCAATTTTTACGATCATCATCATCACCCCACGATAGGATGAAGGCCTCCTCTCCGTGTTTTCACAGCCTTCTCCCGTGACTTTTACTCCCTGGCCACTGTGCGCCTCCAAACTTCCTATTATCTTCAGCCCGTCTAGTAGTCAGCCATTTTACGCGTCTTCTCTTAATTCGTGGGATCTAATCGGAGATCTTAATAATCCACTGTTCCTACTGCTGTTCTGTGTTCCTCTCACTGCCATTTCAGTTTCTTCGCCTTTATTCTGCACTGGTTTAAGATCTCGTCCATTTGTTGTTTTTACTGTCTCTAAGTGAAATATATAATAACTGTATACGATTTTTTGTGTAGCTTAAGAGTTTGTGTATTATTTCTCCGTTATACATATGCAACATATGTACAGTCGCCTGCATTTATACCTGGTATAGTGGCTGAAACGTTTTGTGAGATTTGGCAATTCTGTGTTTGTTAACATCGTATTAAAACTCCCGGAATTGGCTCTATAAGGAATTTCGTAATAGTATCCACACCTCGCAAAACACGAAAACCATTGTACCAGGTATAAGTGCAGGCGACTGTACATGTATATGAAAAATGGAATATTTATTACCACAAAATATCTCATCATAGCTTAATCAGGTAGAAAATATTAACAAAATAAAATAGATTTTACATCAGTGGTCTTGAATTATTCTCATAGTGAAGAAACCAACCTGGTCGGGAATAGTTTAGTCATATTACCAAAGTTGATTGATGGATAAGTTATTAATCAAATTTATTATAAGATAAACATGTCAACACTCACACAAACATACTGTCGTGTCTTTTTTGTTAAGGAGACAAAAAATTGCACCAAAAATAGATTGAGCCAACCTAACACTTCGTTGTTATTACGACACTTTACGATGCTTCTACTTCAAAGGTCATCGACAATTGTAATAAGAAAATATCTACATAAATACAAACAAAAGTTTCTACTAAATCATTCAGGTTCTTTCATTTTCAGTTTGATATGTAAACAATTGAGAGAGATCTATAAAACAGTTACGTGATGGTTTTATACATCAACCAGTAATCAATATTGCTTAAAACAGAAACAAAGAAACTTGTTTTGAGAATGTGTACAGTATCCTCCACCTGTCGAGTGGTAGTGAAGAAGAGGGATGAAAGAACGTTGTGTCCTGTGGACCCCTCAAGTGTACAACCTCTTCAGTTACTATTGTACTCTACATTGTTGTACTTGGCACCACATCCTTTGTACAGTTCAGTTTGCAGAATAAAACTGTAACGGTTTTAATAGTGCTGAGGTAAGTGAGTGAGGTACACCCACTAAAAAATTATTCGGCACCCTTACGGCATGATACAATATGACACGGGTGCCGAATAATTTTTTAGTGGGTGTACATGGCGGGCAGGTAGTACCGTGATGGTGTGCCAAGAGGAAACAAATATACTGTATACTGTACCTAAATAACGGATTGATGCACACACGCACAGGTACACATATAAACGCATGCATACACATATACACACAAACATATACATATAGTCATACACACAAACATATACATATAGTCATACACACAAAC